CCCATTTCTACCTGCAATGCCGGCACAGATGTTGTTTTAAAGACCCCACTACATATTCTTGACGCTTGTATTACATCCAGTTTTCCCAACAAGGTTTTAGACGCCGACCTATATTCCACACAGCCGTAGTCTAGAACTGATCTTGGCTAAGTGGAGCGCAGAGCCGTCCTTCAATCAGAGGAGCGGCGGTTCGATCCCCGGCTCCGCTAGGAGCATGTCGATGTGTCCTTGAGCAAGACACTTAACCCCAAAATTGCTGGTGTTTAAGTTTGGATGTCTTTTCACATATTGAACTATGTTATTATTATAATTGAGGATATAAGATTGGGCATATTTTAGTTTTTGGATGTCATATTTATTTAAACATTTATATAAATAAATATATGTGAAGATAGCGTCATTTCTAAATCATACCACCGTAAATTTAAGAAATTTAAAAACTGAACCAACAGTCCAAACATCACAGCTACATAAACAGGCTCCACATGGAGGAAAAGCAGCGCTGCAAGTTCCCATCAGTGACAATTGTGCTTTTCTTTTAATACGTGTTGTGATGCTTCACAATCATTAATCGATGGACACATTCAGTGCTCTGACTGAGAACATGTTGACATCAAGTAGGATGTAGGCTCTCTCAATAAATATCTTTATTTACAGATGCTAAATAAATAACCTTATATATTATTATTGTTATTGCACAAAATGAGACTTTGTGAACGCACGTTTTCATGACGTCAGAGCAAGTTGGACGCAAATCTACCCAGCATGCATTGTGCGCCGATCGCCGGTGATTGATTCTGCGCACGCCTGGCTTATGTCGAACGAGCCTAATACCACTTCACATAAGTTTGGTTAAAGCAGTGGAAACGTATTCAGATCCGTGACTTGAGTCAAAGCACTAACACCTCACTGTGAAGCTGTTTAGAGCTACATTACAGATGTAGATGAAGATCTCCTCACACTCGTCTCCCTGACAGACTCAAGTCATTTCAACATTTATTCATTGTGAGAATGCAATGATCATCGAGAGCTCATCTATCAGCTGATACATACAAACAGAATGACTCATCATGGTTTGAGAGTTCAGTAGGAAACGTGTTGAATCGCAGCAGAGTTCTTAGATGGAGAGTTCAGTTTGTTCCTCAGCAAACATCTGTCCTCTCAGCGTCTCTTCATGTCCTCACGTCACTACAGAGACTCTTGTACTTCTGCTTCCATCTAGCGGCCACAACCTGGATTCTAACACAATATCACGTTTCCTTTATGACGCTCATTTAAATGTGAGTTCTAATGTTTAAATCTGTATCTGCATCGAGTCTCTAGCTGCTAAAGAAACGTTTTACTGTAACGATCAACGTGTTTGTTGAATAAAGTTTGGTTGAAAGAAGAAGAACTGAAGACTCTTGAAGATACTTTAATGAAGCAGAGATTTCATGATTCACAGAAGACGAACATGATTTCATGTGGAGATGACTCGTTATCTCAGAAGTTTAAATCATAAAGTAACATTTCACTTGACTCATAAAACTCACATCAAGTCAAACAAAGACACTGATGGAAGATACACATGAAACACATTAACAACATGAAACAATAATGAACGTTTCTGCAGATTGTTGATGTCGGCACTATTTGATCAAACACACTTTAAACTAATCAACAACACTACTCACACCTGGTGACTACAAGACATGATGTTTACAGAATCATTCAGAAAAACAGATGATATAGTTTAATATCTGAGTTTTTATGAACTAATGGTTAATGACTGCACATCAAGAAGAATGTGCACAAACACAGCAGATCACATTGATATTTATAGTAAAGCAACACACAGATCTTTCTGACCTCCAGTAGTTTAACTTCTCATTACTGCAGTGATGTGCAGGTGAATCCAGATCACCTGACATGCATTGTATACATCGTGCTCTCATGACCACGCCCCTTTTAGGGGGAAAACAACATAAACAGAAATATGAAACAAGTCTTTAAACTTCTACTTTAAACAAACCGTATATATTCATAACGCTATGAAGAAGAGCTGCTGTGGAGTTCATTGCACCAACGATTAATCCCAGAACATTGATTTGTAATAAACATACTGTCAGTGAGTAATCACTGAATGATGTTGTGACCGTTGCTACTGATAGCTTAGCTTAGCTAGCTTGAGTTGGAGGCTGCTGCAGTACAGTCATACAGCACCGCAGCATCCAACTGTTGGTTATTCACAGACAACACTTCTCTTAACCACACCTGCTGATTCAATCAAACATGTACAGAAGTCTTGATGAGATATGTAGTCACTGTGTTGGACGGGGAAGACTGAGGCTGTGACGGAGATCAACCTTAATTTATTAAAGTATCATGAACGCTCAGGTTCAGCCAGAGTCACACAATAATGATCAGACGTGTGAATAAAACAAATGTTTGTTTAACGAGAGATAAATGCAAATTAACTTCAAACTAACAAACACACGGTCAATTTCATTGGTATCTAAAGGATCATCTAAAGTACCAGTATGTGCGGACTGATGCATCGTCAGTCTAGACATCAGTGCCCCTCTCATCAGTTTACTTTCTTTTGATTAATGCACGATCCATGTACTTAAACCCTTCAACAAATCCTTTATCTTTTTGACTTGTTGCCATCTTTTTCAGCTTCTGGACCTTCCTGGCGTCCTTTTTCTTCTCCATCTCTTCAATCAGGAAGTCCAGATGGACGTAAGTCGACACTGAAACAGCCTTTAAGGCGATCAGCTCCAGTTTGATGACGTGCTCGTAGGCCTCATCCAGCCAGTGTGTTTTGTTTGCTTCAAGGTCTTCCATCTCTTTTTGAAGACTTTCCAAAAGACCCATCTTCTTCTCATTCTCTCCTTTATTCTTTTCATATTTGTCTTTCACATCTTGAAGAGTTTTCTTAACTTTCCTTGTCTTGTTCACAAACCTCCAGCTTTCTTTAACGTGGGCTGCTACAGGGCACTTCCTGGTACACACAGTGCAGCGGCCATCTTTCATGACCTCACACCATGAGGGATTGATGGCGATTGTGCATCCAGGGTAGTGACAGTTCTCCTCACAGACTTTGCAGCAGACAGCGCGTTCATAAAACAACCAGTTCCTTCCACCTCCTATAGGTTCTTTATCTTTGTAGGGCTCATCAACTTCCACAGTGAACTCTTCATTCGTCTTCATCTCTTGTTCATGTTTCTTCAGACCTTCATGAGTCTGCTGGATTTCATTCCGTTTCAGTTCAATGGATTGAATTCTCTCTTTCAGGTTTTGGATGCAGGCTGCCAGTCTAATCTGTTCATTCAGAACATTCACGGTTATCTCCAGCTTTTGAGATGCAGTTTTTTCCAGAAAGTCTGTGAACTGCTTCATTGCTCTCGTAGCTTTTTTATATTCATGTTCAAGTTCTTCTATGTCGTCTGTCCTGTCTTCGTTTTGGCAATTATTAAACTGGAAGTGAAGAGGCTCGTTCTTTTCATTTCTGGCACACTTGATGTTTGCAGCCTCGAGAGCTTTCAGAGCATTTTTAGTTGTCCTTCCAGGTGAGTGTGTGATGAGGGCGACAATGTTCCTCTCAAGGTCTTTTCCAAACAGAGACACCACTGAATTAAAGATGTACGACAGTCGGTCACAAAGTCGATTGTCGCCTGCTTTCAGCACCAGACCCACCACATCGATCTCATGAACTCCATCCTTTGAGCGGAACAAGTCAAATAGTCTTTGACTGACTATTACATCATGTTCAATCCCTCCGGTGTCTCCGTATCCTGGAGTATCGATGATGGTCAGAGAGTAGGGCAGAGTTTTATCTTCAAATCCGAAGATCTCGTACACGGTCACATCTGACGTCTGACTCTGTGATTGCTCTTTCTTCTCGTCCTCTATGATCTGAAACCAGACATCGTCCTCCCACTCCACTCCTATGGTGAAGTTTACCAGAGCGTTGATCAGAGTAGATTTTCCGGCTCCTGTTTCACCAACAAGCAGGATGGTTTTGTTTTTCTTGTTTGGATTCTTCTCACCAAGAGTCATTCTTTTCAGAGATCCAATTTTCTCTTCCTTTGGTCTCAGCTGGTAGACATTAGGAGATCCTTCATGGATCAGTTCTTTGTCGGTGATGTAGTCATATTTAGATGTGTTATTATTCCTGTTGAAACAACAATGAGCTCAAACGTTACTAACATGAATAAAATGGAATAAATTCACTCTACTTTCTGTGGTCTTTTTAAAACATGAATCTACTGTATAAATACAAACTATACATCTACAAGCTGACCAGTTACACCATCTGATGTTCTTCATTTAAAAATATCTGCCTCATCACCAGATAAAAACTAATGACAAAAATATCAGTGCCAAAGTTTAATGATTAAAATTTGCTTCTGAAAAATCTAATTTGATTTGGTTTCCCAAATGCTACATAGAGCTACTATCTCGAGCTCTTCCACCACAGGGGATCACTCTACATCTTCTGCCTGTGTCCTTCTAACATTTGAATAGAAATGATCAATCTTTTCAATGAACAAGATGAATATTTTTACATTATTATGTTAAATTATCTAGTCAAATGTGATACAGCAGTATTTACACAGTAATACATTTAAGGAATAAAAAACACTTAAAAATCCAGAGGCAGTTGGAAAGAAGGTCACGATGCACCGGATTAATGAACATTCGTAATCTGACATTTCCTGCGTAAACATGCAGAATAACCCACCCATCTGATGTGTGTGCTTATTCTATATGAACTGCTTTGATTTACATGTTTTAATGAAGGTAAACACAATGAACAGTGTGTGTGTGATGTTACTTCAGATTTAACATGTCTCCTGCTGCCTTCAGATGGCTTTAGGGATTTAACGACCTGAAGGAGAAACTTTTCATTCTGAATAAATCAGCCGTAGACAACAGATTAAAGAATCACTCCTGAAGAATCAATTAGTTCCACAAATAATTCTATTCATATGCTTACTTTAGGCAATATTGTTGGGAAACATTCCAAAAATGTTCATCGTTATGCAGATGATACCCAATTATATCTATCAATCAAGCCAGATGAAACCAACCAGTTCGCTAAATTTCAAGCATCCCTTAAGGACATAAAAACCTGGATGACCTGCAGCTTCCTAAGTCAGACAAAACTGAAGTTATTGTAGTAGGCCCAAACACTTCCAAAACAAGGTATGTAATGATATAGTTTCTCTAGATGGCATTGCCCTGGCACCCAGAAGCACCGTAAAGAATCTCAGAGTTATCTATGATCAGGATTTGTCCTTTAACTCCCAGATAAAACAAATTGCAAGGACTGTCTTTTATCACCTACGTAACATTTAAACAAATCAGGCACATCCTGTCTCAAAGGGATGCAGGGCTGGTTGAGGTTTATAGTTAGGGCTGGTTGAGGTTTATAGTTAGGGCTGGTTGAGGTTTATAGTTAGGGCTGGTTCAGGTTTATAGTTAGGGCTGGTTCAGGTTTATAGTTAGGGCTGGCTCAGGTTTATAGTTAGGGCTGGTTCAGGTTTATAGTTAGGGCTGGTTCAGGTTTATAGTTAGGGCTGACTCAGGTTTATAGTTAGGACTGGCTCAGGTTTATAGTTAGGGCTGGCTCAGGTTTATAGTTAGAGCTGGTTCAGGTTTATAGTTAGGGCTGGTTCAGGTTTATAGTTAGGGCTGGTTGAGGTTTATAGTTAGGGCTGGTTCAGGTTTATAGTTAGGACTGGTTGAGGTTTATAGTTAGAGCTGGTTCAGGTTTATAGTTAGGGCTGGCTCAGGTTTATAGTTAGGGCTGGTTGAGGTTTATAGTTAGAGCTGGTTCAGGTTTATAGTTAGGGCTGACTCAGGTTTATAGTTAGGACTGGCTCAGGTTTATAGTTAGGACTGGCTCAGGTTTATAGTTAGGACTGGCTCAGGCTTGCCTAGGACCAGCCCTAAGAGAAACCAAGAGAACAAAAGAGAGACCCAGTATTTCCACCTTAGAAAGAGGTAGAGAGAGTTCGTGTTTTTAAGCTTTGAAAGTCTTCATAATATTGTTAACATCATGTTCTGATAGTTCTTGTAGCTTTACAATAATCAGTGAAATGTCTCTTTATACGTTTAATGAAACCAGGATAACAGGAAGTCCTGTCGTCTGAGCCCATCAAACCTTTTCTCACTGTCTGATGTTTAGCAGGACGACGTGTTGTTTTGGTGTCAAATTTGTATATTTATAACAAAAAGACAACATTTTTCAGTATATGAGTAATTTAAATACTAATACATTAAATGTGATGATGTGTTTGAACATGACCATGCTACCGGGTGTACATTACATGTAAATTCACTGTAACCATCGTCCTCTTTGTCAGGTTGCCCTCATCATCATCCATCACAAAGAACGAACACCTTGTCAGATATCATCCTCTTCTTTACTGTGATGTTGTAGAAATGTTAGTGGTACTCACGTTGCCATGGTAACTGCTTCACAGGAGTTTAAGGATGGAGCACTTTAGGATGACAGAAAAACCAGTCAGTCAGCCACAGCTCCTGTCTACTGTACTGCAGTTATTAGAGGGGTCATGACTTTGTGCTAAGCTAACTCAGTAGCATTCTCGCATTACAACATCAATGTAATCAGAGTTGTTCACAGCCACAATAACTGTTTCAGCCAACTATCTTCTTGAGAGGAAACAATAACAGTTTATCTCTACATTGATGTTTTCACATAAATATATTTAGGGCTGGCTCAGAAAACTCATAATTTTTAATACTATTCATAAGATGATGGGTTATTAAAAAATTGTCTGAGCCAATTAACTTTGAATGTTTAGAGTTGTGAAGTTTAGAAAAAAATTCAAATGACCACATTTATTTCTGTTCATTATTTTCTTTTCTTATTATTTTCATCAGCTACTAATATTTCTTGTTCAGCACTATTAGAGATATGTAGAGCTAGTATTGAGAGGCGATTAAAATCAAATAAAAACTGCTTCTGACCTTTTTGTTCTCGTCACAGAACGAAGCAGCTAAACTACAAACATCGAAGCTGCCGGCAGCAGCAGCTGGTTTTGAGCTTCACTAAGCTAAGCTAAGCTAAGCTAAGTCATCTCATACGGCATTTATGTTGTTTATGTTTTTTCAACAGCTCAACAACTAAATAACCAGAACGTTTGGTGATGTTTGGACAAACTGAGCTCAGGATTAAGTTTAGAGTTTGTTTAACTTTCCTTCTGAAACAGTGACAAGGCCGATGCCCGTGATTGGTTCGGGTGGTGACTCCTGATTCTAAAATGTGGTTGAACATCATGAAACTAATCCTGCAAGTTTTGTGACAGTTGTAGAAACATTTATTTGATTGATAGTCGCATTATGTTTGTGCCACAACCATTTTTTGCATTTGTAAGGTTGGTCGATTTCGATAAATGTTTCAGGGTATGTTTCCTGTTTTGGACCTATTCTGTAAGTTGAGTGATGATTGGACAAAGAATTTCTGATTTATTGTCTGATTTGTGTTATGCCACGCCCCTCTTTTCATTTGTAGCGCCCCCTGGTGGTTGATTTTACTAAAACTTTCAGAGGCTCTTGTAGACATGTTGAGCTAGTTCTGTGGTGATTGGCCCAATGGTTGTTGACTTTAGTCTGGTTATGTCAATATCTTTCAATATCTTGAAAACGAAATAAGATATACAACGATCCTCAGAACATTTTGTAATAAACAGAGGTATGGTTTAGGAGAAGATGTCAAACATGTGTTATTAAAATGGCGGACAATGTAGTGGGCGGACCTCTGAAGTCAGAGTGACAATTTTGTAGAACACATTCAGCTGGATATGTGTTATGGATATGTGATAAGTCAATCGGACTCATAGTGTTGGGGTGGCACGTGTGTTTCAGTTTGGCGGCACCTAGTGGTCGATTTGTATTAAACTTTCAGGGTCAGTTTCAGGTACTCTTGTGGACATATACTGGTACTTTTGTGGTGATTGGCCCAAAGCTTGCTGACTTTGGTCTAGTTTTGTGCTAAGCCACGCCCTTTCAAAGTTCATTGATCAATATCTTGAAAATCTCATCAGATATCAACAAGCTTTAGATACATTTTAATGAAGTTAATCCAATAATGACGCACATATTTGGTACAGATCTACGGTAGAAGGAGATAGCAAAAATCTGTTTTTCAAAGAATTCAAAATGGCGGAAAATGTAAGTAGGCAGAGTTCTAAGACTCTTTTTTGTAGATCGGAGGTTCGGGGTTAGAATAATAATAACAAACCGGCACTAATCTCATGAAATTGGGCAACATGGATTAAAGCCACGTGACACACTGAACGGGGGATGAACCACATTTGAATGTCACTGCGCTGCTGCTAAGATAATAAATAATATTCTGACAGATCTGCAAAAGAAATCTTCAAAACCAAATTTAACAGAAGCTTTGAAAATGAAAACCTTTTCAAGCGGATCAAAAGCTTAATAAAGCTCCAGAAACAAGATGAGACCATTGTTATTAACATTGTTGTTATAATGTAATTCATTTAATACTGATCAAGTATTCTTTGCAATATGTTGTTTCCTCATCAACCCAAATTGTGATTCATCTATTAAACATATTTACGTCTACAAGCAAAACAAGTGCCAAGATTTTATAAACGGAGATTTACCTCCACACCCTGGATTCTTATCATGTTTTAGATCTTCTTTCATAATCATCTGTAGTCATGTCTTCTGATTATAACACGTAGCAGTGGTTGAATTTTGCATCATAAACTACAAATTTGGAAAATTCATAATTTGTAATAAAATTCATAAGATGATGGGTTTTTAATAAATTGTCTGAGCCAATTCATTTGAATGTTTAGAGTTGTGAAGTTCAGAAAAAAATTGAAACCACATTTATTTATGTTCATTATTTAGTTTTTCCATAAAGAAATATACATTTTGTTGATTTTTTGGGATAATTTTGCAAGTTTAAATTGAGACCAGAAGCTTTTGTAAAACCCTGAATCGACCTGATCGAAGGAGGAATCTGAAACATTTCTCAGGAAAAGTGTGGTGTCCATAATTATAATAATAATATGTCTATCAGCTACTAATATTTATTGTTAAGCGCTATTAGAGATATGTAGAGCCAGTATTTAGAGGCGATTCAAAACAAATAAAAACTTAGCAGCAAGCGGCAGCTAAACTGTCAAAATCAAAGCTGGTTTTGAGCTTCACGAAGCTCAGATAAGTCATCTCATATGTCACAATATTTAGTCCATAAGTTGCTGTAATTATACCGTAGGATCATTGATCGTGTTGTAAAGTTGTACTTCTAATCTACAGAGTTCTCTTCACCTTCTTCTAACATTTAGTTGTGGATCAAATGAACCTTTAGATTTATACGGTATTCAGTAAGTTAGTAAATTCACATTTCTCTTCATTTGATCTTTTGTCTCTCAGGCCGCTTCACCAACAACATTATATTTCATGTTTTAAGAGTTTCTGATTTCTTCCAAAAGGTTTTGATGATGTCATTGACTTTCTGATTAACGTGCTCATTAATATGCTTTAAACCACGATAGTTACTTTATACATTTAGTATTTCATCATTCGTGTGTTCTTACCTGAGCTGTTGGTCTCTGCTGAAGAGGATGATGAGGAGGAAGAAGAGCAGAGAGTTTATATGTCAGAGAGGCGGGACGCTCTGAGGTCACATGATTTCACTGAAACACTCTCAGAGACTATTATTATCCGCTCCTCTGGTGCCAACCTGCTGTCCCTTCCACTCAGGACCAAGCACCGGACACGGGGTGACCGAGCCTTCTCCAGAGCTGCCCCCTCCCTCTGGAACTCTCTCCCCAAACCCATCCGAGACTGCACTGACCTCTCCATGTTCAGATCACAACCCACCTGTTCAAAACTGCTTTAATGTGTGACCATTATTGTGTATTTTA